TGCGTTACACCTCAACCCGCCTCAAAGCCAACGCTGATTGGACATTCGTTTGGTGAACGGCTCCAAATTTTCTTTAACGGAAAGTAGCCAGACTGATCTGCGAGTGAAACCTTGAAAGCTCGCGAGATCAGGATGGTCTCACGAGGCTACTTAAGTATTTGTACTAAGTTTCTTGACTCCTTGGTAAGATTGTTAGTGTGAAATCTATATTTGCAGAAAAAGGAGCCAAAAAATATGATTGAGCTTAGTGCCCAATGAAACCTTAGACCGATCATCTAATTAAAACAACAGGACATGTGTTTTCTCTTACATTTCTGGTTAAAAAAATAATTAATACTGAACTGTGTATCTATCTATCCAATGCTATATTTGTTTGTTTTATATTCCTTTGCAGTCCTGCTAGCCCACTGCTAACAAAAGGAGGAAACTGACTTTGATGGATGTGTGACATAAATCGTTCATTCTGTGCTTCAGAGCTGGAGCATGAAATAATTTTTTTTTTTTTTTTTTTTTGAATTAACTCAGGTTCATATAATTCCTATTTTTTATTTTGTTTTCATAAATTAATGACACATTTAAATAACATAAATTATTCATTTCTTTTATTGCAGCACTCGTCATCCCCCCACACTTTAACCATTTATATTTTAAAATATGATCAACTACTTCCAATAAAAAACTTCGACTTCGACTTTCATTGTAGAAGTAAAAATGAAAGATTATCCATATGGAATGTTTACTTTTAGCTCCTCCCATTTGACAGTTGAAATGGAATGTTCAGCAGAAACAAACTGACATCAGAACTGACATCACAAGGAAGTCTGTTCCAAACATTCTCCAGCCTTTGTTCGAGACAGACCCCTTTTGAGAGAGCTTGTTCGTTTTAGCTGATATCAGCGAGATATTTATCCCACATTTTACTACTTTTCCAGTTAGAAAAGACAATTTGTTGTAAGTTAGACATGGAGCAACAAAAGATTGTTAGTGAACAGAAAGCCTTTGAAGCCAAACTTTCATGGTTAGAAATTGTTGACCTGAACAGACAAGTCGACTACAATGCAATTATTTTCCCCATGGGTCATGAAGAGGAAACTTTGACCGAACCTGCAACCAAGATGCAAGAAAATACCTCAACCGGCTTTGATATTTCCCCCTCAATGGAAACCCAGCAGGAAACATCTTTACCTGGTAAAATTGAGATTTCTTCTTCAGTAGAAGCCCAGCAGGAAACATCTCTACCTGCTAAAGTTGAGAATTTTCCTTCGGTTGAAGCCAAGCCAGGACCATCTCAGATTGTTAAATTTGATTATTCTGGTTTTCTCAAAACTATTTCTGAATTATCTGTAACAAGCCTGTTACCAAAATCAAATCCTGCGAACCCCAAAACATCTCTACCTGCTAAAATTGAAATTTCTTCTTCAGTAGAAGCCCAGCAGGAAACATCTCTACCTGCTAAAGTTGAGAATTTTCCTTCAGTTGAAGCCAAGCCAGGACCATCTCAGATTGTTAAATTTGATTATTCTGGTTTTCTCAAAACCATTTCTGAAATATCTGTAACAAGCCGTTTACCAAAATCAAATGCTGCGAACCCCAAAACTTTCAACTCAACAGTAAACCAACAACCACGTAACCCACGTCCAACCCAGTATGGAAACCCAGGTTCAATGTCACATCACTCATACCACCAGCCAATGCCTCTCCAACCCAGGAGGTGTAGAAGGAACCAAAATGCCTCAACTCTTACGGCACACAACCCAGTGTGCATCGAGCAGGCTACAAATCATATCAACAATCTCATGGAGCAGGTGGATGACCTAAAAAAGCAGCTTAAAGATAAAACAGATGCTCTTGATGAGGAGAGAAAACAAAGGATCACAATTCAAGTTCAATGCACAGCCTACCTGCAGAAGATCAACGAACTTGAAGAAATGTTAGAAAATGAACGTAGCATGAAAGTGAAGTGTGAACAGGAGAAAGCAGTAGATTTGGAGGTCCTTAATGAGATGAATTTCTTGAAGAAGCAAGCTGAAAAAAATTTCTTGAATGGTGAAAAACTGTCAGAAGCTTTGATAGAGGAACAGCAGCTTAGACTGAAATGTGAAGACCAGCTTAAGACTTACCAAGAACTTGATACTAAATTCAAGGAACAGCGGGAATTAGTAAGAAAACTACAGGATCACATTGTAAATCTGACTTTGGAGTTGAACCTTGCTTCAAAAGTGGATTATTACAAAGTTTCGACCAAGAAAGACTCCTCTAAGCAAGCAGAAGTCAACAAGCCATCACAGATTCCAACACCATCAGAGGTCTCCAAGTCATCACAGATTCCAACACCATCAGAGGTCTCCAAGTCATCACAGACCTCAACACCAACAGTGGTCTCCGAGCCGCCAGAGACCTCAACACCAACAGTGGTCTCCGAGCCGCCAGAGACCTCAACACCATCAGAGGTCTCAAAGCCATCACAGACCTCAACATCAGAGGTCTCCAAGCCGGCACAGATCTCAACATCAGAGGTCCCCAAGCCATCAGAGACCTCAACACCATCAGAGGGCTTAAAGCCATCACAGATGTCAACCAATTCAACAATCCCCATGAAAACAGAGGGATCTCCACAAAGAGGCCACCATGGAATCAGACATCCTCATGCAGATGGAGGCTCACAGAGATACAGAAAACAGTATAATAATAGAGGCTTCCATGCAAACACAGGTATTCAGCCAAATGAAGGGAATTCAAATAGAAGATTTCCCCCATATGGAAGTTTCCAAGGAAACCAAGGCTTTTATGAAAATCAGGGACGATACCTAAACCAGGGCCAACATGCAAACCCGGGCCCACACCCAAAAGCTGGTCGTTATACAAACCCAGGCCACTACCCACGTCCAACCCAGTATGGAAACCCAGGTTCAAACCAGAACCCAAAGCCTTATATGAACCCCGACCCCTACCCACGTCCAACCCAGTATGGAAACCCAGGTTCAAACCAGAACCCAAAGCCTTATATGAACCCCGACCCCTACCCACGTCCAACCCAGTATGGAAACCCAGGTTCAAACCAGAACCCAAAGCCTTATATGAACCCCGGCCCCTACCCACGTCCAACCCAGTATGGAAACCCAGGTCATCACAGAAATACGAACTTCCATGCAAACAGAAGATTTTAAACTCACAGAGGCCCCTAAAGACTCAAGCAGGCCTCATTACAAGAAGAAGCAACAAGAGAATATATAGAAAAATTAAGATGCTTTAAAATGAAAAATTAAAAAAAATATATATATTTATATATATATATATATATATATATATATATATATATATATATATATATATATATATATATATATATATATATATATATATATATATATATATATATATATATAAATAAAAAGCAGCCTAGCGTGGGTTCTCTCCGGGTGCTCCGGCTTGCCCCACTGTCCATAAACCTAACGATTAGGTTAATTGGTTTCTATAGAGTGCATTTTGGTTTTAATGCATTGCTGTTTCTCTATGTTGCTCAATAATGGACTACGGACCTGTCCAAGGTGTACTCTGCTTCCTGCCCAGCAAAAATAATTAACAAAAAACAACTAACACTAAAAATAAAACACCTAAAGGATAACTGGAAAGAAACAAAAAAACAGAGACAAGGGTAAGAGGGAAAGAGGAAAATAAAAATGGGCACAAATAAAGAAAAAGTAAAGCATCCAATCAAGGTAAAAAAAAGCAGAGGAGTTGCGGCCTGGTGGTTAGGGCATAGGGCTTTGAATCTTGGGATTGTGAGTTCGATCTTCCACAGACTGCCACTCTGGATCCCTAAATGCAGAGAAGTAATTTCCCTCTGGGATTATTAGAGTATATAAAATCAAAAAGGAAAGGAATGTTTCAGCTCCATTTCAGAAATATTTCACTCTTGAATATACTATGATGATAAGATACTATGTAGAAAGATGAAGGAAAAACTGTTAGGGTTCATTGCATGAAAAGTGAGATTTTCGTCCCCGTGAACTCCCGTAGATCTCCCTGATTTTCGTCAGTTAACGACAATTTGCAACCCGCGCTTGTCGCCGTTTGTCAGTGTCACAAATTGTCGGAAACGGACTCTGATGTATGTGGAGAGCGATCAGCTGTACTAATGGCCCTAATTAGCATATGAATGCAGCAAACCCGCGCGTCTGGCCAGGTCTGGCTTGAATAACTTACTCAGTATTGGCTGAAACCACTATTCTCAAACAATTAAAATCACTCATGATTGGCAGCAAAACCACACGTGGCCACGCCAGGCTTTAATGTTCTTACTGAGTATTGGACGGAACCACTTCTTTTTAAACAAGTAAAATCGCTCGTGATTGGTTGGCATATATATATATTTACGTATATATATATATTTATTCATATATTTATTTATTCATATGCTGTATATTTATGTTATCCTACACTACTACACTATTATTAGGCTACCATCAAGGACATGAATGAATTTATGCAGGAAATGAACAATTGCCAGGAAGCTGTTTATGCAAAGAAAGAGCTTTATTAAAACACACACAACTATATACAACGCGAGGGTCTGCCCACACATGCGTATCCAAAAATTACAACTCCGTGAACGGTCCGTTTGCCTCCTCGGGGTTGGAGGTAACTGGCAGCATTCCCTTCGAGACAGGTCCGATGTGCAGACGCCTACTGTGCGTGGCCCTGTACTTCGGCATCGCTTCTAACCGGGACTGCAGCTTAACACAGAGTTCAGTGAGATCCGGCCTACGAAATGGCGGCGACCGTACAATCCATCCAGTGACACCGCCAACGACGCCATCTTCTTCGTTGGACATGAGGTCGACGGTGGCGGACTTCCAGAGTTCCAATTCCTCATCTGCTAGCACACTCTGCCTCGCTTTCAGCAGCTGTAAAAAAAAAAATGAATCAGCACTATTCTATGGGATGCACTGCGTATGGACACAACACATCTATCAATGCACCTGAAAAATAGTCACCAAATAAAGTCTTACCCTCTTTCTTCTGGCCCGACTCTGAGCAGATTGCCTGGCAGCTTCCGCACGCAACGTGTTGGCTGGCTGCGTATATCTGAAGCTCCTGCGTACCGTCTCATAATACGTCTTACAGGCAGCTGGAAAACAATTAAATGAGAGTGGTATGAATAAAAAATCAAACGCAAGTCACAGTAACAAGGAAGGAGAAAACATTAAAACAAGTCACTTACACACAATGTCGTCTTTATCAACATCGTGCAAATCTGGACTTGCTGATATGGCTCCAAGCAAATAGGAGGTCATCGCCTCATTATGAGGCGAGATTAGTCTGTGAAAACAAAATGTACAGCTATGATCGGTATCTATCCCTATCTATTTCCTTTTACCGCAGAATGAAAGCATATTCTTTAAATCTTACCCTTGCTCCGGTTCATAGCGCCTGCAATTTGTCTCCGAGTTGTGAAGACGGCGTACTGCTTCCTGTGAATCACAAAAAATACACTTTAATAAAGCTTGTTCTTGCAAGGCTACTATTAGCCGTAGCTTTAGGCTAGGCTGTGTTTAGCTTACCTAGCTAGGCTAGGTTGCTTTTAGCTTACCTAGCTAGGCGAGGCTGCTTTTAGCATAGCTAGCTGTAATCGAACATATATTTACCCCTAGCTTGGAGTTGTGCACCCGTCTTCTCTTCCTCGAGTTCGTCTCTCCCGCACAGTTGTTCGACTGCAGAGTCGCCATCGCGTCCAAGAGGAGTTGAAGGCGAGTTGAACGTGAGACGTCCTCCAGCCATTGATCACGTACCACATAGCCAAACAAAGGAACTGAAGATAAAGTTCTTCTGAGTATAGCTCCTCCAATCACATACGAGGTCATTGTTATACGGAAGGACTCGCGAGTAAAGCTGCGTCTATCATGTTTTTTTTTTTTGTTTTTTTTTGCTTTATTGGCAATTCCGTGTAACAATACAGAGTAATTCAAACATCAAACACAGATACACAGCAGTTGGTGACATTATAACTTTAAAAAAATGAGACATAGAATATAAAAAATAAATAACAATAAAACAAGGGAAACAAACATATAAATAAATAAACAAATAAATAAAATAAACATAAAATAATAATAGCTAGGGGTTTACATTGAGTTTATGGTAACTTTTTGTAGCTTCCTGTCCTAAACAATCTTTAAGGAAACATATTAGAAGATGCAATATTGTATATGTGAGAGAGGAGTTGCTGTAAAACAATGGTTTACCACAGATTTAAAACTAGTAATAGCATAAAGAAATATTGAAATTCTAAAACAGTCTTTAGACTTTTTATCAGCAATTACTGCACAACTTGTGTTAAGGAAAATAGGCTTTGGAGATATGTTCTGGAGAATCTTGATTTATACCATACTACAGAACATTTCAAAAGGCTGCTGACTTTTTCTATGTTTATAGGTGAAAATAATAAAAACTACAAAAAAGCAACTTTGCTGTTCTCCATAAATGTTGGGGAAATTGTTTAAAAGTTTGTTGCATAAGGGCGTGCTTTGGTTGCCCAGTGTTTAGCGCACAAAACCCATGTACAGAAAGATTCCTTAGTCCTCGACATGGATGACCCGGGTTCGAATCCTTGGCCGCATGTCTCTCCCTCTCTCATATCCCCTTTCCTGCCAGCCTACTGCCAAAAAAACAAGACACTAGTGCCGTAAAAACTGATTCTGATTCACATTTTACCAACTGATTCTGATTAAAACTAATTTTTGAAATAAATTATTTTGTGTATTTTTTTTACAAAACATTTGCCATTGCTAATGGCATACACAGTAATCTAGCGTACTTTAATTAAATAAATCAATTCAAGCTAAAATGTAAGAGTCTATAATTAGGTCATACTGAGCCTGATCTATTTGTACCATCTATTTGGGGGATATTTATTGCCACTTAATACCAATTTAGCATCAAATAAATGAGGCAGCCTACCTCAGCATTGTTGCTGACCTTATGTCCTTATGACCACAGTGTACCAATCTTCTGATGACTACTTCCAGCAGGATAATGCGCCATGTTATAAAGTGAATCATCTCAGACTAATTTCTTGAAACTTTTCCACTTAAGTAATTGTGTATTGAGATTATAGACAGACAACATTTTATTTTTTTATCTTAAATGCAAATTTTTTTTTTATAATTACTGCTCTAAATGTATTGCTCTGTCAGCTAAAGATCTGTTTTGGTCTCTATACTTTAATTAAATAAATCAATTCAAGCTAAAATGTAAGAGTCTATACTGAGCCTGATCTCTTTGTATCAGAGATTTTCTTACCTTTTAGAAAAATGTCACTAGGGGGTAAAACTCCCCCTGCAACCCTTATTTGCATTTGTATAGCTCACAGCATTTTCATTTACATGTTAAAACCTCCCCTAGAATTCCATGGGGGGAGGCATGGGGGGAACACTGCCTAAGAAAGCCCACGTCAATTTCTGACAATTTATGGGAGTTTTCGGCGATGCCTGCAAATTACCATGAACTTTTCATGCAGTGGTTCTGATTTGTGGGGGATGTTTTTGTTCTTTTTCAGTGTCTCCATGCATCCACCAGATGGTGCCATTGTTCCTCTGTTGGCCTGGAGGGCCTCTTCCTGCTCTCAACTACTCACACCTGCAGCTCGTTGGTCATCACCGTCTGAGGAGTATAGGAGCAGCAGACTGTCCCCATCTCCTCGCCAGAGTGTTTGCCAGTATTGGGTACTCTAGCCCCTCTGAGTTTTGCTGAGACAATACTTTGAGTTTTAGTTTTTTTCTGAGACCTCAAGTTCTTACCTAGTTATTCTCTGTGAATATTTGGCAGGATTTCTACAGATCCACTGGAAAAAGCTGGTCCGTCAAGCCCTGGAAAGAATCCTCTCGTCTCGCTGAGAAAGAAACGTTTCACCATATCAGAATGCCACCCACTTCAGGAAAACTAGAGACAGTCCAAAACAGTTCAAGTCTCCAGGAACAGGAACAACCTCAAATCCACAACAGTGAGTCTAAGCCAGTGTATATTAAAGTGATTGGCCTGTTTTCCCACCGACCTTGAACTCATCATTTGTGATCTCTTCCTAGAGCTTCCGCTTCCCGTTTACCAGACTGCCGGATTCTCCCAAGCTGAGAAACCACTTGTTTTGTCACTTTGTTCACCTTTGTTCAAATAAACTGTTGAAATTCTTTCGGACTCTGTGAGTGCTTTTACATATGGGCAAAACATATAAGACCCATCATGACAAAAACATGGCTGAAAACCAAAATCAATGAGATGATGCAATGATATCACAGTTTAGCATGGATTTTATGTTTGAGAATCTAAATTAATCTTCAATCTAGTTTACTTAGTTTTGCATGCTATCGCTATGTCCAGAGATTCTGATTTCTACATATTTGGTGACACAATGGTAAGATGATAAAAGGTAATGTCTTCTGACTCTTGACTTATCTGAAGTGTTACGGTAGTTTTTGCCTTCTCAAAAATGAAATCCCTCAAATCTCGTTGTCTTTGCTGCTTGGTCGTGATATATATATATATATATATATATATATATATATATATATATATATATATATATATATATATATATATATAGATATATATATATACATATAGATAGATAGATAGATACATAGATACATAGATATAGATATATGCTCCCAGTAGGTCGAATTATTAGACAGCATGGGATTAATTTCCACTGTTATGCTGATGATACCCAGCTATATCTGTCTATAAATCCAGATGAAGCTAACCCATTAAATAGATTACAGGCATGTCTTGAAGACATTAAAACCTGGATGACTCTTAACTTTCTGCTTCTGAACGCAGACAAAACAGAAGTTATAGTCTAGACTCTAACTAGTCTGGTTACAGGCTTATTAGTCAGTCACTTCATTTGGATGGGATTAAACTTATTTCAGATAATAAAGTAAAAAATCTTGGTGTTGTTTTTGATCAGGACCTGTCATTTAAATCCCATATCAAAGAGGTTTATAAAATTTCCTTCTTTCATCTGCGGAGTATTGCAAAAATTAGAAACCTCTGTCCAGGGGTGATGCTGAGAAACTAGTTTATGCATTTGTTACTTTAAGGCTGGACTATTGTAATTCTTTACTATCAGGAAGTCCACAAACTGTAGTTAAAAGCCTTCAGCTGATCCAAAATGCTGCAGCCACAGTTCTGATAAAAATTAAAAAGAGAGATAATATCTCTCCTATCCTGGCTTCTCTTCAATGGCTTCCTGTTAAATCCAGAATAGAATTTAAAATCCTTCTTCTCACAGAGGCAGATCTTTTGGTTATCAGGCTCCGATCATGCAGCCAGTCTGCCGGGAACTGCTGCGTGTCATTTTTACCCCCCAAGAGAATTAAACCAGAATTCATCCAGAATTTGTAACAAGCCTATCATGTGTCTGTAATTAAGACAGATGACAAAGCAACTAAGCCAGAAAACTCAAAGAGTTTGAGAATTTACATTTACACAAACAGACCAAGCAATAGGAAAACTTTGGTTAAAATGTGTTCCGGTAGTTTCCAAGTTAAAATTCCCAGCTGTGAAACCATGAGCAACATCCCCTCACAGACTTTGGATTGCCTGATAGAGAAGCTTCTCTACCAGCGCTTTGGCTATATTTTCATAGTACTCTCTCTCAGGATGAGCACTAATCTTAGACATAGTGTCTGCAATTGTGTCAAGGACATCAGTCTTTGAACCCTAGAAATGACCATTGATGGTTAAAAAAGAGATCTTAGACCATGGTAATTATTCTGGACTTCAGGGACCAGTGTCAATGCTGATATTGACTTGGAGTAGAAATAACTTTAAATTTTCTTGTGTTTGGATGTTTTTGCATCACAGCATAGTTTTAATTGTTTACAGTTTATAGGTTCATTTGTTCAGGTCAAATCACTGCAAAACGGTTAGAACTATGTCTGTAGCATGAGGTTCAGCAACACCTCCCTTCTTTTCTTCTTCAGCCATATTGCTTTTCTGATCCTGTGTTTGAGATCACTGCTCTGCTGAGTGTCTGTTTCACGAAGCAGGTTTACTAAACCTGAAATCCGGGAAACTCTGAGTTTGCTGTTTCACAAGGAGAATTTACTCAACCAATGTTTCAGTTACCATAGTAACATGGGCTCCAACGCTAACCTGGGCCGTTTCTCAATTCACAAGAACGCAAGTACAGACTCGTGTCCTCGCCAAGTATGTTCTTGAGAAGAACACAGGAAAGTATAGACTTGGGGAGAACGGGAGCACAATTGGAACAGAAGCGTAGTGACGATCTTCTGCCCTCAGTTAGTGTATCTAACGTTACTTACACAGCGAGCTAAACAAATATGGTTCCAGCAATAAAGAGACACGATTCCTTTTCTCTGTCTTTTCTGTCATTACTGAAGACCATGTTAATTTGTGAAACTGTAAACATACAGAAAAAGGAAAATACATAAATGGTCTCGCA